TAGATTTCAAGTAGGAATTCAATAAGGTTGTAATTGTTACAATTCTTATAATTATAATAATAAAACTAATGATTGTTCTTGAGCATAAAGCTCTATATCCTAATAAAACTCATTTGTTATATAGACCTTCGTCATTTGAAACCCCTGGGATCCGTATGCTCCTGGAGCCCGTAGCTCCCCAAGGCTCCCTCATATGACACGCGAATGTGTCATATGATGTCTGTCGTAACAGGTCTACTTTATATAAAAGTGTTTTAGAGATTAGAAAAACCATATTGAATAGTAATATTCAATATTATATTATATCAAATATATTTCATATAACATATATAAGAACATAATAAATATAAATAGAATCAATATAAATCAAATTATCCTAAAGAAATTATAATTATAATTAGGAATCTTTTCTTAATATATAATCCGAAAAAATAATATAAAGAATATAGTATTTTAATTCTTTCATACAAATTATATATAAACTTAATTTAGTATAATTTTATTCGTTTTTTTAAAAGATATCTTTTTTTATTAAATTTGACTTTATTATTCTATAATTGAATCTAATTAATTACTAATTAATATTGAACAGATTTAATAAGATATATATATATAATATATATAAATAAAAGAATTGTTTATTTCTATTTACTTTCTTTATATAAAAAGGGAATTACTATATCTATATATATATATACTACTCTTATTTATATATTTCATATATATATAGAGTAAAGTGTAATATATAATGTTATATTATTAGTTATGTGTTCCGACAAACTTAAAAAACGAAATACTTATTTTTGATTTTTTCCTTTTCCCTACTTTACAAAACATTTATTCAACTGAAAAACTAGTCTTCATTCCTTCACTATTTACCTCCTATAATTTAAACATTAAGCTAACCTTTTAATTATATATACCTTCATAAGTTCAGATTTCTTTTTAACTCTCCAATTGATTATTCTATATACCTTGAGAATCCTTTTAATAGTATCCCTTTGATTTTCAGCTTATAAATGTTAATCATCTTTTAATAAATCGATTTAGATTATAAATATATATATCATACTATTTTATATTCATTTTTATCTAAATAAAACCTATACCTATACTTTTTAAATAAATCCTTTTTATTATCATATAATTTATCTTTTTTAATAATATAGTATATCATTATATAAGTAATTCTTAGAATATTTACAATCTTTACAAGAATAACATCTATTAAGGTTATTCCTAATATTTTCCTTTTATTATATAAACTAAAATACTTTTCGAAAATATTATTATTATTAATTAATCTTAATGGAATATATATTAGTAATATAATTAATAAAATAAGTTGTTAATATTGAGAGGAATATGTATAAATGAATTTATTTTATACGTTTCGACTACTTTCTATACATGGTCGCTATAACAACTTCATTTGAATCATTTATATTCATAAAACTATTATCAATTCAATAATAAAGCATTTTAAAATCCTATCAGTATTAATTGATAGACTTTCTCTTTCCTTTCTTTTACTTCTTTATTAAATAGATCTTATAGATCTAGTAGAGAAATAGTATCATTATTCCTTTGTTATAATTTTATATAAGGATAACTATTTATTAATGATTAATATCAATATAATTGTAATATTTATATATTCTTTAATTTAATTGAATTATAAAAATGAAAGGTTTTATATATTTAATAAATTTCTGTTTGATATAATAAACATTAGCTTTTATATTCTCGATATTAAATAGCTATAAAAACTATATATTATTTAGATTAATTTATAAAAATCAATAATCATTTTTATTGAATATCTTTTTTTTTTCTTAAGTATTTTATTATTATTATTATATTGTCTTAGAACATTCTGGAACGTTTTGAGAATGTTTTCTATTGAAATTTGAATGATAAATGTTATAATTAATTGAGATTGAGATTTAAAAAAGAATAACAAATTTGTATTTAAAGGAGGTGTTACAACGGATTAGTAACAGGCTGTAGAATTACTGACTTGTAGGCTATAATAGTATTATAGGCCTTAGTAATTCAGCTACAATATACCGGGGGATATTAGGCACTCAAGAGATGTCTCAGGCATATATATAATATTAGTTATAGGATACCTTAGAAACTTAGAATATAGTTCCCAGGATAGTAGATCCTAGGATAGATAAAATACAATAAGCAAGAAAGGCTTCATTAGGATTAGTAATGTCCTAGGGAATTAATTTTAAAATAAAAAAGATAAGTTAGAATAATAGGAATTATAGGACAAGTGTTATGTAATCAAAAGCTAATCGATTTGTTGGTCGACTTCAGTACGAAGGTTTATATAGGGAATGGGTTTCATTATAATATAGAGCTTTATGCTCAAAAACAATTATTAGTTTCATTATTATAGTTATGAGAATTATAATTAATTATAACCTTATTGAATTCCTACTTGAAGTTTAGTTTAAATTATTTCGAAAGATTTTTAGACACTTCCACATGAACCTAGAGGCAGCTCCTGTAACAGGAGGCTTATAAATTATTAGAAATGAATAGTAGTAAGGGATGCTTATAAGCTACTAGAAATGAAAAGAGGGAGATATAAGGAAAGAAAACGAAGTAGAATTTCGAGAACAAAATTGAAAAGAAATAGAATATAATGAGAGTAGATTCTATAGTTATAAATAGTCATAGTAAATGAGCGGGCTTTGCGAATATTTATAGCATAGATAGTCATCAAGGTAGAAAGGACAGGCAAGAGTTCTCATAGTGGAGAAGAGAAGAGATACCAAAATAGGACTTTGGGTTAACAACATGTTGGAGGGGTGCTTTTTGGGATGCAGGTTTCTGGCATAGGGGGAAATTTAGTGTAATCACGTACTATGTGGGCAGGCTTAATGAGCGGTTGAGGCTGCGTAAAACAGCGATAAAACCCGTTAAATGTAGCAGCTTAAACCGTCGTACTTGTATAGACATCTTTTATTATTTTTATGAATTTAAATGTTTTAAGAGTTTTAAAAATAATTAATAAAATAATGATTTTATAGAATCTTTTATTGTTTAATAATATAAAATTCTTTAATTTTATATAAATATTTATTCATTTTATTATTCTAATTTATCTTTAATTCTTTCAAATATCTTTCGTTTATATATCTAATAAATGTATTTAAATTTTCATAAATAATAGTTTAATTTAATATAATAATAAGTATATTCTAATTTAAGCAAAACAGAATTTGATTTATTTAATATTTTCAATAAATTTATTTCTATTAAATGTTTTTTTTATAAAGATTATTATTATTATTATAAAATATAATAAGCTTTAAATTATAATTATTAAAAGAATAAAATACTTAAAATTATAATTAGATTTGAATTTATAAATAAAAAATGATATAGAATTCGAGGATTCAAATAAATAAAAAGACAAAACTTACTTTTCTAAATAGTTTTTCTTATTTAAGTTTTATTAAGATTAGTTTTGATTTTTGGTTTTTGATATTATCTTTTTATTTTTAGGTTTTTATATTCTATTTTTATCATATATCTTCATATATATTCATTTAAGTAATATGTATAATAGTGAGTTTATATTTCTTTAATATATACTATCTATTATATTAAAAGCTTTATACACGCCACCGTTTTACTATAGTATACTATTGCCTATACTGATTATATATATAGTCTGTAACACCTGTACTTTCGAAGACGATTAGTATAATGCTTCGTTTTCAATCTATTACGAGTTAGTAGTATATATGCTGCGAATACCTTCCGTATGTAGTGTATTATATATTATATATTATAAATTAAATAGTAAAGATGAATACACATGATACAAATAGATAGAGAGAGCGATACATCTCATCTCAAATTTGGAATCGAGTAATCAATCTAATCTAATACAACATATCTATTTTCTATTATCACTCATATAATAATTTACTTCAAATTTCAATAATATACCTCATATTTATAACTCTCGAGATGTATTTACAAGAGCGAGATCTTTGAGTATGTATAGATGTATATAAGTAATAATATTGCAAAATAGTAATAGTATCATGTGCGATATTCTCTATACTATACTCTGCATTAGAATATGTGTAAAATCTAGGTACTCCCAAGTGTGATGAAATCATGACTGGAAAAGGAGAATGTATTCTAGCTGTGTATTATTGATTAACCACCACTCACTTCCTCATCACATAAGTCCCATGTATAAACACCATCATTCAAAATTCAAAGTCTGAAATTCATAGAGCATGAGAGTATTTCCATATCATCTATTCATTCACAACCATTCATAACCAGTTACGAACGATTTGAAATCTAACCTCCTAATCTCCCAAACACCTCAACACCCTTCTCCATATGGGAAGAGAGAAAAAAATACAACGAGTGTAGTAAAAAGCCATGCAAGCCCAATGGGGTATCATCCATATCCAGCCATATACTTTTCATATCCGTTCCATGCACCAAAACCAAACCAAATGCCTTGTCCATATTCATATCCATATGCTCCAAACCCAAATCCAAATCCATCACCGCAAGCAGAAGGTCGTCATCATAATCATCATCATCATAAAAAAGCAAAGAGTAAAAGTAAAGTAAAGTAAAGTAAAACGTAAAGTTAACAAAGGAAAAAACAATCTGTGTTGTATTGTATAAACCAGTCAGCCAGCCAGCCTAAAAGAATCACAAAGATTTCTAAAAGAAAACAAAAGAAAACAAAAGAAGAAAAGAAAAGAAAAGAAAAGAAAAGAAGAGAAGAGAAAAAACGCCTGCAAACTCCGTAGGAATGTAAAAACAAAAACGAACTGAACTCCAGGGTATCCTTTCTATCTGTCAATTTTGGCTGTGCTATGCTGTGCAAGTAATTGAGTTGCCTCAAGGGAAAAAGGGGGGTATCTAATCTAATCTATCTATCTATTTATCCATTGATCTATTCCTCCAATCCGTCCGTTGACTCTTTCCGACCCTGTTTGAACTCAATTCACGTTACGACCTCGGATCTGGAGGGAACGCTTCATGAAAGGTTGAATGGCAGGGTAAGGAGCGTAGGAGCCGCTTGCGGAAGCAACACCTGAAGGGACCGAGGTGCTTACTGATGCGAATACAGAAGGAGAAATAGAGGGAGCTCCAACGCCTGCTTGCGCACCGGTGGCGACACCTGTTGGGGTTGTGACGCCGGAGGTCTGAGTGACGTAGACGGTAACGGTGGTGAAGCCTTGATGTGTAGAGACTGAGGTAGCGGTTGCTTGTTGCTGAGTGGTGGATGACTGTTGCTCAGAGATGGAGGCTGCAGTGGTTGGTTGAACGTGAGCTGTTGTTCCAGCCGCAGCGAAGGCGGTTGGCTTAGCAAAGAGATCGGTAGTTGCGCGCATAGACCATGGTTTTTGAGCGGCGGTGGGATCGAAGACAAAGGGATTGACCATCTGACTCCATTGCGCAGCGTTGTTGAGATCTTGAGGTGCAATATAAGAGACTTCTTCCTTGTTAACAGTACCAGTAATAGCGATGTCGGCACAAGAAGTATAAATTTCGCTAACAGTTGTCTTGCCAGTCTTCTTATCCATGGTAGGCCAATCCCAAACCCAGTAGATGCTGTAGTCCTTGTTTGCTTGTGCTTCTGCTGGGATTTGAAAATCGGTCTGGCACCAGAGGTTTACGCCCATTTCACTTGTCGGTGCGAATTTATAAGCTTCTGCTCTTGCCATAGCAATAGTAACTTTGTTGGTTGGTTCATCAACGAAAAGGTTGCCATTAGTATTACCTGCAAGAAAGCATGCCATATCATCAAAGTACTGAGTGGCAAGAAGCTTTCCTCGCTTGTCTCCACCAGTTCCATCTTTGTTCCATACTTTGTGAATGGAGTTGAATTTGTCGGTTGCTTTGCTGTCCGCTGTACCATAAACGTACACAATACCACTGCCAAAGCCCTTGCCTTGTGCTGGAGTGTCTGCTTGTGTAGGCTCAGTAACATGTCCATTCTCTTGGTACCTAACAGCAACGAAGTCTCCTGGAGCAGCGCTCAAAATTTGTTGAGATGAGTCTAGAGGTTTGGCTCCTGGTACTTGTTTTGGGTTACAGATCGTGGTAGAATCGGGAACAGTGTTTAAGAGTTTCCAGAGGTTGTCGTCGGGCTGGTATGCTCCAATCCGGGGAGTGTAAGCACGTGGGTAGCCTTTTGGAGCTGTGAAGGTCCCATTTCGTGCAATGACTCTAAGTTCATCGGCCCATGTATGCGCTGCGGTTATTTGGAAAAGTAATACGAGAGCCGCAATGCTGATAGAAAATGTAGACTTCATATTGAAGTTTTCGAGTTTCGAGCTGTGTGTGTTTGACTGATTGAATCGGAGGATCTTTTTCTTGCCTGCAAGGATGTGTATTTGATTTAGACTTAGGGGTTCGAGTTTTGCTTCTTCTGATCGAGTTCTGTGTGAGTATTTATTCGATTCGGAGAGTTGTGAGGTTGAAAGAAGTAATGGTTCGATTTTATGAAGAAGAGGACATTGAAAGGTTATTGTGTAGAACTTTATAGATGATTCCCGGCCAGCGTGAGCATTGTTTAGTATGACTGAACAATAGATAAACTCGAGTAATAACAATGATTGTGAACTAAACAAAGCCTATTGTACGAATCGAAAGTTCTTTATTGTGACAGAGAACAATGGGGTGATTCCTCAAGCGAACTCGAGTGAATACACTCGAGGAAAGGAAACAAACAATTGAACAATGCAAAGCGAGATAGACGTCAAGAAGGTGAGTTGAAAAGTGAAGGTCCTTGGCATATGCTTTCTCTTTGTACTTCCAGAGACAAAGAAAGATTCAAGGAAACGTATCACAACAGACGGGCTGGTATAATGGAAAAGAATGAGCAATAACTGGGGAACACTGTATTGAAACTGTCTCCTGTAAACAAAGAAACGGGTAATGAATGAAAGAGAGAGACGGATCCAAAGCAAATAATTGGTTGGCACGAAAGCTTAACAATTTTGACAGTACCTAACTAGTAGTAGATACGCCTCCAAGTACTTTCCAAGTATCTCCCAAGTGTCTCCCAGGTGGAGTACCTCGGTAGACTTTGTAAGAAGAGAATGGCTCAGGTCCTATCGTCGGTCCCAAGTGTGAATCTTCTGATATTGGAAACATTTTCTGATAATTAGTTTGAATAATTTAAGAGCCAGGACGTGTTTTTGCGGGGTTGTGCAAGGGGTAACTCGGGAGAGAGCATTGCAAGAAACGAAATGTCGCGAAAATGCTTGGTTGATGATGGTCAAAGTGTTTTTTTTTGTTTTTTTTTTTGGACCTGGTCGTAAATTAACCATACCCAATTAAAATAGTCCCATAAGGTCGAGATGGGAATTTTAACGTCTGCTTTAATTACCAATCAACCGATATATCTCAAGTCATCAGTGGCACATTTTTGGTCTGCATGTCGGAGGTTGAGCCATTTGAGTCGATTCCAGTGGCTTGAAAAGAGATATGATCGGGAGTACCTAGCCCGGAAGTGTAGAGAGAGTTCATCGATCCATCATTCGAATGGTACATGTTGTTTTCGTATTTCGTTACCATATGAGATAAACGCCGACCTCTTGTTAGACCATATGATCATCATTCTAGACTCCAGTCCAAGGTACCTAGTTGATAGAACTCTGATGCTAAGGTCATGATGAATCCTCTGATGCTTTCGGAATTCATGCGGTTTGAACTTTGCAGGTCATCTCGGACGAGGTTTGAGAGAGATGTGATGAGGTGTGTGTAGGCGAGATAGGTTGAGATGGAATTACAAATGTTTACTAAACAAACATCTGAAGTTTGAACCAGTTCGACCGAGATTTTTCTATGGGCGTGTACTTTAGACTGTGTTTCAAACATCTTTTTGTGTAGGGTGATTGTGTAGTGGGATGTAGAGGCAATCTGTAACGAGGAATGATCGAGTATCGCGGCCCTTGTTTCAAATTGGAGAGAGAAACAAAATGTGACACGTTCCCGTGGTAGATTCGATCTAGATTTTGTGTAGAGATGGCTGCCAATGCTTGAGTAGTTGTTCCTTCCAAGAACCGACATTTTGGAGTCATGTGTTGGAGAAGATAGGCCTTTTGCTGTTGGATTTGAATGTTCTGAATACCAGTAGTACCTATCCAGGCCGGTAGATACTCGGACCTTCATTGACATCTACCATGTTGTATTGAGTGAAGAAACATATCAGGTGACTTTGTATATATATCGATCGATATCTGTATAGTTGCAACTATTGGTTAGACTCCGTTGACTCCCTAGTACATTTATTATTCGCACCAAGATCGGATTATCCACCCGCCTACCCTCCTACCCTCCCACCTTACCAATGCTACCTCGAGGCTACCATCTCGAGCATCCTTCAATCAGTCTTTATTACGCACAGACAGCTAATTAGATCAGCACATACCCACCAAAAGGATTAAAATTACTGCTTACGAAAGAAACATACGACTGACTGACTCCACTACAACAAACAGACGACGACGAGTGACTTTTAGATCAATTATCTATAGTTAATTCACCTCTTCTCATAACTTTATTCTTAATAATATTATTACCCAGCTAGTGAGGATTCGAAACAACTTCGGCAGCTACATGAAACTGGTTACTACACCTAGCTAGGCAGGTATATGCTTTTCACGACATATCTTTTCACCATTGCCTCCAATCCATTATCAAATCTGTGGATTTCACAAGTCTACCCGACTACATCATATCCTTTTGCCCCCGCCGATAGATAGTAGTGAGACTGGGTAGGTAGGTAGATAGATAGATAGATAGATAGATACAGGTAGCCTTATCAAGTAGCAAATGGATTGAATGGATGATGTCATAGATACAACTCACAACTCACACGATGGGCCATCTTCACGTCAGCGAGTACATAACCATCAGATACTTCACATCTCATTGGCTCTCTTTCGAAACGGCTCCGAAGAACTGGTCTATAACAAGAATAACGGCAACCTATGATTTGTTGTGATAGCCATCTCTACCCCCAACACATCAGTTTCTCCTCATCAGGACCTCATCAGGACCTCATCAGGAGTCATAGAAAACAACATCCTGTTATTCTCGTCGCTGGAGACCATACCGCGATGGCTGACTTGAGTCTATGTCCAACAAGCTTTGTGAGCAGAAGGTTGAATCACTCTACCTTTGTCATATCAGAGGACGATTCGTATGGAGAGCAACCATATATCTACATTAAATTGGGGTTCAACTACGTGATCATAACGGATACGGGATGCAATTCGCCTCGAGACAGGACAATCAAACTTACATCACTACGCCAATTTGTCGAAGAATACCCTATTCCATCCTTTAACAATCAGAGTCTGAATCTGAATGGCGAGAAACCATACATCATCATCTGCACTCATTGTCATTATGATCATATTCTTGGCCTTCCAGAATTTCTATCGTCAAACCCTACCATTGTAGCCTCGGAGAATGGTAAATCTTTCATTCTCGAAGATTTGCCGACGAATTCTCTTTGTAAGTACATGAACGTATCGACACCAAATTACAAAGTGTCACACTGGGCTCGTCAGCTGGAGTACTTTTCGATGCACAACACCCACTTTCGCATCCAGTTCATACAAATCCCAGGCGTAAGCTCGATCGACCATCTCATATCATTCTCTGCCATGTTCAGTTCTACTTGAATGTTTCATTTACCGCTTCCTTCTTCTCTTCCGAAAGTTTTCCTTAATGTGCAATCACTAATTCTCGGTGTTAGCATACACCCGACTCACTTGCCTGGTATGATATTGAAGAACAATATTTGTTTGTTGGGGATACTCTCTACACAAGACACAGATATCCTGTCATATCCGAGCTTCCAGATGAGACAGATCAGAATCCTAGCCTACCTTCTACTCAAGCCGCGATAATTTTTCCAGAAGAGGGAGGTAATTGGATTCAATACATGTCATCACTTAACCTACTCTCATCTTTCGCAAAGAATCGAAATTCTGAACTCAGTAGACTACATGAATCGAGCGAGACAGCGGCACCAAGAGTACGACTTGCTTGTGGCCACTTGACGTATGCAGTAGATGCGGAGGAGATGATTCTCGAGGTACAAGCTTTGTTCTGGAGGATTATTTCGGGAAATGTTGCAGTGAGAAGGACTGACGTGGAGAGAGGGGTCATACACGACTATTGGTTGGAGAGCGATGAGTCTAAATACGGAGTTATGGCACCTCGTCATCTCGCCGAGGAGGCGAGACTACACTTTCAACCCAAGCAATGAGCAGCAAAGTATCTGAAGTATTGATTTTCAGCCTCAATGTCTTGGTATTGCTGTCATCTCGATCTCAGCTAATACAAGGGCAGTTCTCTAGCTGCAGAATTCGCTACATCAATTTGCGATCCATGCAAGCCATCAAAGCCTTGGACAGGGAAACCTTGAAATAACATTCTTGACCGCTACAATGCATGCAATTCAAGGAACAATTGACGGTCAAAATGAACTGCATTTGACATTGACATGTCCGCACTACAGAAACACGTGCTTTATCCCCTTTGGTACTCTTCTCATACGCAAATCATGAAACGCATCCGAAATAAACGTTGATTGAAACGTTGCATTGCTTTTCATCCGAGCTACCTTTCCGTAGGTCATATGGCACTGGGATTTTTGCATACATCTAATTCATTTAAGCGTTTCCCAAAATCCCCTTGAATTTCATCCCAACCCCCAAAATCGCCTATCAGCCCAATTCCACAAGATCTGAGCATAATAGACAATGAATACATCAGATGAGACATGCATTCCCATGCTACAAACCCGCATGCCCAAGATTGGAAAGGCGCAGTACCCCTCCACCAAAATGAAAGGCTTGGAAGGCACGTGAGATACTCGTGCAATGGTCTGGTGGATGTGCTGTCACGGAAAGGTGCAGATTCCAAGGGTACGAAAACTGCTCGGATAGTTGCATAGGTACTGAAGTTGTGAGAGACGGGATAGTTATAGAGATGAAGATCGGAGAATTGTATCTCTAATAGCGATGCTATGAAATCCATTTGATGCTTCGTGCGTCAAAAGGAGAGAATGTCTGGATGTCTAAGTAAGGCGAGGGAAGAAAAAGGGCATAAAATTAACTGAAACATACAGATTCCGACCAATCAGTTGTACCTTGACGCCACTTCCCTAGCTGTCAGAAGAAAGAAGAAAGTTCACATCGGACCGTTGCACAAGAAAAGCAAACGCCGAGCTTCTAACTCACTTGGTCCATCCGGACAGTTCCGATCGGTTATGCTTTCCGCTCGCACACTA